GGGGGGGGGGGGCCCCCCCCCCCCCCTTTCAACTCCACCCTAGCGCGCCTCGGGGTCAACCGTTCGAAAACACTGTAAATATCAGTGTTTTCAGCTCTTCCAGTCCTCAGCAGTGACCAAAAATCATGGAATTTACAGCGTTTTTTGTGGCTGTCCGGCAAAAAACACCGCAAAAACCGATGGTTTTTGATGCGTCTCGGTTAGAAAAATGACCGAAAAAAGACCAAAAACCAGGAAAGATTTTGTCAGAAAGGGTTTTTGAGGCTTTTGGAGGCTTCAAAATTGCACAAAACTATGGTATTTACAGGGTTTTGTGCACCTTCCCGGCAGAAAACGCCGGTATTTACACGGTTTTCTGCGCTTTTCCAGCGCTCAACCGTGGTGCGCCTTTGGATCGACGGCTACAAAATACCGTAAATACCAGTGTGTTCAGCTCCTCCTGTCTTCAAGCGTGGCCTTAGACCATGCCACGGCTGTGGATCGACGGCAACGAAACCTCGTAAATACCAGTGTTTTTGAGCACGTCCTGTTTGCAAGCATGGCCTGCGGCCACGCAATTTACAGGGTCGCCGCACGTCACTATGTAAATCCGAAGTTGCATTTGAGAAATATGTGACTCCTTTTGAAGGCACGTCAACCTGTATTGAAACCGCTAGACCGCTACAGCTTCTGGAGGTTTTGTCAAGCGTTTGTGCATTAGTCTTTCTTTCATCACGCTCACTCACTTCTCTTCAAACAAGTGGGGGGCCTCTCACCTCCTCCCGGATTACGCCTGATTCCCTGCTACCTTTCGTTCACCCCCCTCCTCTCTCAAGTCTAAAACTTATGTGTGCTAATCATATAGTTCCCCGCAGCCTGTTCCAACAGGAAAAGTCAACGGCCGCCATAGAGCGAAAGACCTGCAGTTTCCTCACGTGTTGTTTGACAGCAGCCCACAACATCGCAATAAACATATTAATAATGGATTGTTCCCTATAGAGTTTTTTTTCCAGAAGTAGTGTCCAATAAGCCCAATAACATCCAATAATTGACAAGTGGTTTTGAGTCACTGAACTCTGGATTGCTCATGACCATGGACCCGGGCCAGGCCGCCGACGACCGACCTGGTGGCAGCTTATGATGCTGCCATGCCCGGGCAGCACAGTCGGAGATCCTCGGGTTCGATGCGTGGCATCGGGGCAGGACGGACGAGTCGGGCTTCGAGGTGTTTTTGGGGTGTTCGGGTATGAGATGGCTCACCAGTGCCAAGCAATGCCAACCAAACAGCTGACCCTCACAGCAGGGCATTGGGTCCGGTCGTGCAGGGAGCCCATTCATCCCACAGACGACTCACGGTTCTTGCTTTTTGACCTACTTGTCTATAGACCCCGCAGGATAGAAAAGTATATCTCGAGAAGTCTTTTAACTGTTAGAAATCTATCTAGGTACTCATTCTCTCAAGTGATTGAATGGTACCGTCATGAAGAGGCAAATTTGGCTTTGCGATCCAAACGAAGTGCGGACACCGTGTCCTTTTTTGTGGGATATATACCAAAACGTCCCGGATGCGTCCGTGTGTGGGATCTCGCGGGTGGGCGTATCATCGATGGAAGTAGGTCAGACTTGGGTGGCGGGTATTGGCTTCCAATGTTCAACATGTTCAACCATTTACTTGACTAATTTTTGAACATCCCACACTTCGTTCCGGTGTTGGCTTACCATTTACTTGGGATGATTGATCCCACTCATTCCTTGAGTTGAAACCCACTTATAGCTTCCAATAATACCTCTTTTGTATTGCTATAGGTGGACCCATTCGTTTTGCGTGATGTGTGGCTTTTTCACTCATCGCCAGAGTGCAGCTCAGTTGCTAAGGTCTAGTTTGGTTGACCTTCACTCACACATTCTACAGGCCCGGGAGAAGATGAATTGCTTCTAATCACTGCAAGGCGTACTGCAACACACTTGGAAGATGTAAGCCCCTTGCAGTTCACATTGAAACTTGTTTCAGCGCCCACCCTTACACAGCAAAGTTCCAGATTTGGGCAGCTCAAAATGGGGTTTTGTCCCCGCAGGCACTTCAAGCCCATCAAATGCAGCAAGAAGCACAAGTTGATGAGAAGGCGCGGCAACCTGATGGTTGCCTATACGGTATTTCATATCTATAACACATTACGCATATTTTATGCATGTGTTTACACAAATTTTCTATATATAAGATAAATCTTACATTATATAATGTATAAGACATATCTTATTATAAGATATTATAATGCTAAAAGATTATCTATACAAGATAGTAGCCTGCCTGTCCACCTCGTGTTGCACCCGGGGATCGAACCCGGCTTCGGCGCATGGAGAGGTGCGTCAGAGCCACTACCGGCCCTCTATAGTACTGTGTATAGTACTGTGCATTGACTGTGCATATATATATATATAATATATACACAAAAACATCTATCAGTGCTTGCTACTCGATAAGGTAGTTTAACATTCCAACGCTTGAAGAGAGCCGGCTTTTAGTCACTAAATTTAGACAATTTTGGTGACAAGGGGCTGTTCAACATTTTGGTCGGCGGCATGCGATCATTTCATAGATGTGTGTTTTGAACACCGCCAGCGACTAAGTTATGGACATGGAAAGCAGCAACAGTTCATAGACATTCCATTTTTGGGCTTAATGCAGAACCCAAACTGTTGTTATCATTTTTGCCTGCAGTGCTGGCTCAAGCTCAAGCTTGGACACCGAAAAGCACGTGACGGGTTGGGGAGCGACAGGGGCGGGATGTGACAGCTGCCTGTCAAGCACTCTGGGAAGAGCAGGACTTCTTCGACATGTTTGGGCGTGCCGGAGAAGGGCCAAGGTGATGAAATCCTTCGAACGGTTTCAGGAAAATGGCCCCTAATTACTACCATCCTGACGAGCTCGATGATCAAGAGAAAGAGCTGGCCATAGAGCTGCCGTTTTCACCTCATCGAGGTCGCCCAAGGCCCAAATCACAGCGAGAATATGATGAGCTCCGCCCAGGTCAGGACGCAGTGGTACCACAGCCACCGCGAAGATGGGGACCAAGAAGCGCAAGAAGGTCATGAAGAGACAGAGAACGACAAGTGAAGAGGATTGAAGAGGTGGATCCTTCCTTTGACACTCATGCAACTGAATGTCCAGCGTGCGCCTGCTGGGAGTTCTTTTTTTCTCAGTCCGCATGCGACAGCCTGAAAACCTGCAGAGACTTGAGAATGTCCTTCATTGCCAGGCCGGCCTCAGCCGCAGCCCGAGGACAAGGCCCTACGCCTGAACCGATGTGATTCTCGAACGGAATTGTCTCGTCAAGTCGCTTGATTGATGCAACGGAATTCGGGAGTGCGTCTTGAAGGCACTCGCCACAGACCTGCAGTGGGCCGAGGTCTTCGTGCGGGTGAGCACTGAAATTCGAAAGAACCAGGATGACAAAGGAAGGCTCTTTCACGTTTCTTGTCCCATCCGGTTTGAAGAAACCGCTTGTGGAGCGTTCTGCGAGAAAGCAAGCGACTGCTCTAACCTTAACCCGTGCCGGTGTTTGTTCATGTCTTTTTGTTTGACCAAATCGCATGTTCGAGCCATGAGCTCGGCGATACCAGGTTGCGGCGGTTGCTCGAGAGCCTCGGACGCAGCAGATGCAGCTTTTGAGCGTGTGCAGAAGTTGGCACAGAGTTGCAACCCAGCGTGCTTCACAAAGGGGAACCGTTCAGATGTGCTTTGCCGATTCAATATCATTAACGTTATCACTGCCGTCACGATATGCGTTAGATGAGCCATGCACATGTAAAGACCATCAAACACCATTAAACTACAGGTTCGCCACTCCGCACGTGGTAACAAGGACGCTATTAGGTGGAGGCCACCGCAAGTAGGTTGGAGGCCATCGCTGTTACTAGTAACAGCATTTAGTAACAATCGCTACTAGTAACAATAGTCTATGTTTGCACCCTTTCCTCCTCCAACATCACGCCGGATCTGACTCAGCTTTTGGGGTCCAGTTCGACGCCTTTTTTCGCGTCGCGCGCCGCTGGGGAGGGCCATGTCGTGGATCCTTGCGCTTCTCCTTCTCTTCAGAGCCAGCGCTGACGAAGCCACGGACGAGCTTCAGACGAAGACCCTTTTGGAAGCTGAAGATGCTGCGCTGCATTTGCTGCAGGCATTTAAGCGACATGAGTTGATGCGATGTGTCACTGTTCAGCATGATTTCCTTAGATTTCGCTCTTTTTGCCCTGCTACGGCATACCAGGCGAAGGGTGTGAAGCAGAGTGAGAATGTGAGTCAAGTGGACGAGCGCAGTGGCTGGGAGCTGGGGAACTGCCCTTGGATCAATGATGACTGGAAATGGCACCGCGGAACCCATGATGACAACAATCAGCGCTGCGTGGACATGTGTGCCGATGCTGAAAGTGGCTGAGACCAGAAGTTCCACGGGAAAAGGGCTAAGTGACGGGAACTACAATAGCATACAATAGCTAGTTGGGGATGTCTCTCCATATTCCTCACATCAAAGCAAAGATCCCACAAGCACCTATTGCCATATGATTGCCAACCAAAACTTGCGCAGTTGGTTCGTAGTGTATTGCGTACTCATGGTTCAATCAAAGCCTAGGTAGCGCAAACGTAAAAAAAGTGTCACCGAAGATTTGCGAAAGAGAGGTACTGTAATAATTATGTAGACACAACGGGTATACACACTCCCCGCGCGAAAGTTGAACATGGAGTTCACGAAAGATTCGCAGAAGGAAACATATTTTTTGAAGGAGAATTGTATTTCCGTAAGAAGGAATTTTAGAAGACCCACCAGTCATGTGTTTGCGCAGCCTCGCCTCCTGATGATAGACAGAAGAATAAATACGAGACTCAAGACTGTTCCGTTCCTCCTGTAGCTTGAGTTGGGTGTTCTTTCGTGTTCTTTGAGCCCAGTGTTCCCGTCCCACCAGTCAGCAAGTCAAGTGGGCACGACCTGGCGTGGAGGACCAAAAACAGGGAACGACGACCAATCCAAGAGGAACGTCGAGGTTCTGGGGAGAGACAACGGATTTTATCCGTCAAAACAACAGCAACAGGGCGTCCAAGAGAAGAACCTTTTTCCGAAGACTTTTCTGACACCCTGCTGAGTCGACGCCACCACCGGTTTGTAGAGAATCGGAAAAAGAGCGTTTCTAGGTGCTTTCTTCTCAGAGGTCCAAGTTTGTTTCCGGGAGTGCGTCCTACAACTATATATGAATATATATATATATTATATATCATTTGGGTTTGTCCTATTGCCTGTTAGTGGTAATAGAATAGGCCCTAAATAATCATAGTTTATTATATAATAGGTTTTGACCACTCGTCACCATGTTGACTCCTCTCACCGCAAAGTGCGATGTGTTGTGGGTGTGTTTTCGTTGGCGGCATCGAGTCGGTGAAGTTCTAAGATCGCAACGATTTCGCTGCACAAGCCACGGGTGAAATGATGGCCCAGGTCAGTCATGAACAAATACACCCCGATGTTTGTGTGAGTCTATAGTCCAGTTGCCCCTAGTCCGATGGGTTTGGTCATTTGAAGGCATTGATGACGCTCTCGTTGTGTTGCACCTGCTCCGCGCCAGACGCACCAATTCAGGTCACAAAGGACGAATCCAGACCTTTGGCTATTCCAGCAGCTCGGTTGGACGCAGAATCCACTTGGACGCCGGTCTTTTGAGCGACAGCCCTGGCTTTCAGTCGGACTGGGACGGCGCTCTCGTCGTACCTCCTCGGAAGGTATGACTGGACCCTCTAAACCCACCCCAAACACCTTCTTAGAAGGTACTTGGAGCCCTAGGGTAGGTCAAAGAATGGACAATAAACCTCGTCATTGCTGGCGTTTCAGGCTTTGCCTCAAATTCCCCGTATGGTGCCTTTTGCGCTTTGGCAAGGCTGCACGTCCCAGATGCAAACTCTTTGCATAATGTTCTATGAAGGAGGCCAGCTGATGCTAGCTCAACCTGAGGCCCTACCCCAAAGTCACTGCATACGGGTCGACCAGTGTCCAGCTGCCCATGTTTGCTTGCTCCAACCATCCAGGGCGCATCTCATGCGCCCCCCCCGAACGCCCGCGCATGCGCGAACACTCGCCGAGGCTACTTTTGCATTTGCTTCGGCGGCCGGGTGCCGGAGAACCGACTTTGCGGTGACCCCCCGGGATCCAAGTGCTGCAAGTACCCACGTTAAGGCGGACGAGCGAAGCGGGCAGGTTAGGCTGAGGGTACCAAGAATCCAGGGTGACTGAAGTCCGAGCGTTGCGCTCCAGGGTGGGAGTCAGCATGTTTTAGAGCCAGATGAATGATTAGGAGTGACAATCGGTGGGATGCCAGGCGATGTTCAAATGCCCAGCTGAGCATGCCTCTCAGAGCCCCAAAGGAGGCACTTGGATGAAGATGCACAGGGTGGCTCCACAGAGTACCACAGTGTGACATACACTCACCCCATGCACCAGCAAATCGAGAACATTCTTGTTTACAAAGTTGCGTGCGGGGCCACCCTAATGATTTTGAAGCTCATTGTGCCATCTCAATTGGCCACTTGTCGCCAGAAGCGCCTGACAAGGACCTAAAGTCACATGAAACCGGATCAAAGAACCGCCTCGATTTGCAATGGGCAGGATTGTGTCGTAAAAGGCACGGTTTGCGGCTTGTTTTATCCAATTCTGTAGCAGAGTGCAAAAGATCACAAACGACTCTTCGCCAAGGCTACCTGAGTTCTCCATTTAAAGCAATGATGTATTCAATTTATTACATGCTTATGGACAGATGAGCACGGCAGCAACGATTTCAATTGGAAAGCCTTCAGATCAACTTTTCTCACTCACGCAGACCGGAGTTCTTCGCTGCTTCTGCAACCAAACTCAACTTTGCAATGCATTTGCCACACAGGTCATGGCAAGCAACTGATTGTGTGGTCGGCACAGTCCTCGTTCGTCCTCAGGAAGTTGGATCCCCAATGGCCAGCGAGTTGGTGGAAGCTTGGTGTTTCATCTCGTCGCAGGGTGGATGAAAAGGGCGGACCACTCCCGGCTCATTGTAGAGCGATGAGAAAAAAAAAGCAGTCTTCGGATGAGCCAGGACGTCCGAAAACATGTTTGTTGCGAGGACCTTCGATTTTGATTCACTTTGGAGTCACCCACCACTACCAGTGATGTAGGACCTGCTTTCCACGAGACCAGGGGAAAATGACATGACGCTTGGTCGAAACTGGTCGGATTGCTCCAACCTGACGGGGTGAAAGAGTTCCCCACGGAGCAAGGGTGAGAATATAGTTATACTAACCCTACAAGTCAAACAGACATTGAATTTCATATAGGCCGGGCAGTGACAACAGACATTTCACGCAATTATATATATAATCTTGGGTTTGCCCGAACTTACCTGTAACAGGACCCGCAAACAAGCAAGCAAATCACTACTTTTGGACAAGGCATGACAAGGCCTCTACTAACTATCATCATCCACTGTTACAGGTAATAGGATAGACCCAAGTTATACTAATATACTGCATCATACTGCGAGATGCTGAACATGTACAGGTATTAAGTTACTAACTATGTGGCTCGTGCATTGGCAGAGCCACCGGAAGTTGCCATGGCAGGGAATAGCAAGAGATAGAGACCATGAGCTTCACCTATCACCTTTGCGATTGAATTCCGAGCAACTACAGTCATGCAGGCAAAGAGTCACGCAATACATTTTTGTTGGATGAGTTCCTGCTCCTATCATGTTTCCAAGACGGGTTCACCAACATTGGCATATACAGAATGTCCTTTAGCTTTCAGCTGTGCCACTCCTGAGCCGGAGAAACCCCTTCCAGCTGTGAGGACTTCAGCCACCCCCAGACCGAAGGTTCGGCGAGGGGGGTGCCAGGAAGGGCCACGGGGGCCTTGGAGGGTTGTCATGATATTTTCTGTTTCATACCAACCCAGATGCTCCGCGTATCGTATCTATGCCTACATTGACCCCTTTTCAACCACCCCCAATATTGCGTAAATATGCCAGTCCTGCCATGGAGTGTCTGGAAAAGAATGCTCAAGTGCACAGCGTGAATTCTAAGAAGAAGGGTGATGCCCTTCCTCTCCCATTTTTTGTCGGAGAAAGGGCGACTACTTGAGTCTAGGGAGTGCACCGAATGGGGGAAACCTACCAGAATTACTTCTTCCACTCACCCATGGAACCTCATCAAGGAATGATGGTGAAAGCCCTTTCAACACCAAACTCGGGCAATCCAGGCGATCTGTATGATCCACCAATGATGCCTTTTTTGGAGGTGGACTCCAGATGCCCCATGTTCCACACACACTCGCAGTGGCGGCCTGTAGTCCAAGTTCATTGTTCTGATGGTATTGTGTTTCGTTATTCTGGCCTCAGGGGCCTCAATTCGCAACAGGGGTATAGCAATGCCTCACTATTTAATTACATAGTGTCCCACAAGAGTGATGTTTCCCACTTATACAATGATCTCTGTGATGGCCAGGTGTGATGATCACCTCGCCATTGAAGCGATCGTTTAGCAGCCCGGCCAGAATTGGAAGAAGTCATGCACGTCACGACTTGCATCTATAGCAAGAGTTTGATTTCGTCACATCCCTGCCGTTTATAGATCTTGATAGGTTACCTACAGTACAGTACAATGAGTACAATGATTGTCATTGCACCTGGTCACCCAGTCAGTGAACAAGCTTTAACCTTTTTGCGGGATAGGCTTCCCCACCCCCACCAAAATCTAACATAGTCTAACATGTGGAAAAAGGTTTGACTTTCAATGGAAACTGAGGGGGTTGCTGTATGTCAATTGACGCCTATTCAGGATTCGCAATTATCATCAGCTGCTAATGGGACTTATAACTTATTGCCATTAAATTATTGTAGTTGATCGGGATTGATATGGGAGTCAACGTGCAAGTTTGGAAGGTTTGAAGGAAGGGTCCTTCAAGGTACCCATAGGTACCCGATTTCAAGAAAGATCTATAAACATCTATAATATCATAGCTCTTCTTTATTCCCCACATTGATGTGTGGGATTTTCGTTTTTAGTGCTGTATCCAATCCTTCCTTCCTTCCTTCCTTCCTCCCGCCCTCCCCCGCCCAACAACCAACTCACTGACTCAACTCACTCACTCACCTCACTCACTCAGCTCACTCACTCAACTCACTCGCTCACTCACTCACTCCCTCACTCACTCACTCACTTCAACTCAACTCAACTCAACTCAACTCACTCAACTCAACTCAACTCAACTCAACTCAACTCAACTCAACCACTCACTCACTCACTCACTCACTCACTCTCTCACTCACTCACTCACTCACCCACCCACTCACTCACTCACTCACTCACTCAACTTACTCACTCAACTCACTCACTCACTCACTCCCTCCCTCACCTCACCTCACCTCACCTCACCTCACCTCACCTCAACTCAACTCAACTCAACTCAACTCAACTCAACTCACTCCCTCCCTCACCTCACCTCACCTCACCTCACCTCACCTCACATCACCTCACCTCACCTCACCTCACCTCACCTCACCTCACCTCACCTCACCTCACTCAACTCAACTCAACTCAACTCTCCCTCACCTCACCTCACCTCACCTCAACTCAACTCAACTCAACTCACTCCCTACCTCACCTCACCTCACCTCACCTCACCTCACCTCACCTCACCTCACCTCACCTCACTCACTCACTCACTCAACTCACTCACGGGTCGGATGTACGCCCTGGCGTCGCCCGTGGGTCTCCGCCGTCCAGGGGCCCCCGTCCTGCCCCAACCAACCACCAACCAACCAACCACCAACCAACCACCGATCACCAATTGTCCGCTCCTGTGTTTTGGTGAAGTTGTTTTCATGTGGGGTCGTCCGGTCCTTTTTTTGCCCTCTTCAGTCTTTACGTTTTTTACATTGAGAACAGCTTAAGTGACCATCCCTGGCTATTCAAACATAGGTCCAACCATCGACTGTCCTTGACCATGCCCAGTTCTTCCACCCCATGCGGCCACAGCTCCTAGTCCCGTCCTTGCTCCTATAGTAGTAAGGCCTGGAACCCCTAGTAGCGTCCCGTGTTCCTAGTAGCGGCCAAGGTGTCGCGGTGGCCGAAGATGCGAAGGGCACAGAGGGAGAGCAGGACCGCGGGCTCCGCGGTGGGAGGGGACCGTTCGGTGGCGGGGAGGGACGGTGAGGGAGGTACGGTACGGTGTCACTCCGGGACGAGTCGAACCGGAAAAACCGGTGGGTCACCGGCGTCGTCATTGGTAGATGTTTGTGGCTGGACGAGTCGATTTTTGGTGGTCGATTTCAGAGGTCTGTGAATGTCTGCGGTTTTCAACTGTCAGGAGGCCTTCATCACTTGCTTTGTTGCAGGCCTTGTTCCACGTTGCTGGTGCCATGGTGCATATTAATATATATTATACTATATATTTCTATATAGTATAAATATATATATATATATTATTATGGTTCACTCTTCACAGGCCATCCATGGTGGGTCTTCGGCCCTTGGACGAGTTACACCCTGTTGGTGGTCTTCTTCGAACCCCGGGAGATCTTCAGAGGAAGACGATCTGGAAGACGTCAAACAGTGCTTGAATCGTTTCCGATCTCATGTTCTTTTCATGTCCAGTTTGCACTTGCCTAGGTTATTGAACACGCGATGACCAACACCACCAGAAAATCCATAGCTGTCATAGCCCATCCAAGACCCCTCCCTCGCTTGGGGGACCTGACCTGATCAGGCACCACGGCAGCAGGAACTGAAGGAGCTGTCAGCCCACCATGGGGTCACTCTGTCCACCGCGGGGAAAAGGGGCGGGATGTGTGGGACTTCTACAAGGGAGCATCCGGAACTCCACTGAAGCCACACAAGCAACAGTTTAATGCTTGAATTGCGACAGTTGGTCTCTTAGATTTGTGAGTTGTGGTGGTTTTTTCACGTTCTAGGATTGTTCAGTGGCGCCATTCTACCCAGCTTGGACCCCGAACCGCCTCCGAGGGGGCCGATGTTCAGACCGTGATTGGAGTGACGCCCCGAAGACTAGGGCCGAGTTCGGTGACATCGAAGGCATCGCCCCGAAGACTCGGAGGACCATGAAATCAGAATATCAGCCAAACAGTTACAGGTGGTGCATTCCACTATGAGCACGATGATTTCGGGGAGTCTATAGGACATGGAAACACTGC